TTATTCTTAACACAAACCCATACTTCTCCCATCGGGTCACATCGGGTCACCTTTGGTACAACTCAGGTACAGTTGCGGGTCCGATCAGCACCGCACCCTTAGGGATACTACCAGTCTGCCAGGAAGTTCAGGCCCGGCCTACCCTTGGACTCACGCCACTAGCTCCCTGCACACCCTTACTTCCTCTAGGGTGTGCACTTTCACTTACTGGGTCCTGGCCTGAATTGAGCTACTCGGCTTTGTGGTCGAAATGGCTTATCCGGCCAACTAAGTGTTAGGCATGCGTTCAACATGACATGAGGACGTATAGCGAGTCGGTCCTTAACCAACATAGACGGGGATAAATAGGCATCAAGACCTCCATGCCTTGTTGCTTCTCTATCACAATCCCACCCGGTCTCCTTTTATTCATCAACACATGATTATTTTCACGATAGCAATTATAGCCAACCGTGACCAGATATCTACCTATATCTTGCAGGTGATAGGAAATTACCCGACTTGTACCAGACTAAGCATGGCTAAGCATATATTTGATCCTAGACCTACATAGGATTCAAGATATATTTGTCTAGACAAGGAAAGTATATGCAGCAAGTGGTTCCAATCAACCCTTAGTACTTAATGCATCAACATAAAAGGACTCAAGTTGATATTTAGAAAACAAGGAGGCTTAGAATGCTCCGGGGCTTGCCTTTTAGAAACAAGGAAGGTTGGTGATCACGACACTCAGGAAGATCTTCCACGCTGACTCCTCCTTTCGCCTGAACCTCCTACTCCTGGGCTACCTGCTGCTCCTCCTAACGCTTGGGTTCGAACTCGAGTAGCGTCACTCCTTCCGGGGAACCTATTGTATGCATATGCACAAATGAGTATCATGAATGCATAAGAGATGAGATGACATGATGAAGTGTATACGCATGAGCATGATTATCCGCAAGATGTATGGTAAGTTTAACATTCGTTGACCAAGTAGATGTATAACTTTCTTCTAGTTGATCTTTTACTGAGTAGGTGCATATCTCTTCTATATTACAAGAAACATACACTCATCAAGTTTTAGTAACCTAAGGTAAAGTTGTTCATCATCAGTAAGAGGCTTAGAACCTGTAGCTAACAACTAATCTCAATTAGCCTAAGCATCTACACAAGTATCACATAAGACAAACAATTACAATTTGACTTAGTTATTTCCTAGACTGTAAACAGCAGCTACTTATTTTGGCCATATCTGAAGTTCTACTCAACCAAATACTATGATCTTGGACTTTCCAAAAAGCTTATAAAACTGTCTACAACTTTCTTATAGTCATCTCAAGATGATTCAATGGCTATCAAGGTCAAACAAAGCAATTTTCCAGATCTATCCAGAAATTTCAGAGAATAAGCATTTCTAGAGACCAACTTCCAACAGCTATAACTCTCAAACCGTTTAGCCTATTGCCATGAAATTTGACACAAGCAAGATAAGTAAGTTATCTACAACTTTATTATTGATAAGATTCATAGCAAACATTATTTTACCCATGCAATTTACTTAACAACAGAAAATGTCCAAAACAATCACTATAATTGAATTATAGAGCAATTAATATTTCACTCATACAAACAATCAAATCTAGGCACAACAAATGGTACCAACAGTTCATAGATATCATATACACTTTAGAAAACATAATGGTCAAGCCCAAATAAATTATTTAAATGCCTTTATTAATTTATTTGGACACTAAGGTGAAATAAGGAACATTTATCAAAATTACACAGTAAAGTCTGAGAAAATTACAGTAGCTCATATATTATGCCAATAGGCTACTGTATAAATTTTATGCTAACTCAACAAGTATATCATCCTCTATAAAAATGACAAGGTACATAGGCTTATTTTAGTGAAAATGGTTTGACCTAGTGAGAAGTGTCAAACAATAGATTTCATATTTTTCTTAACCTCATCTTAGCTCAATAACACTGTACAAAAATTTTTTGCATGACCATATGTTACCTATTTTTATTCTAATGAATTTCACCAGAAATCACCATTTATTTAGGGTTAAATATAAAGACCCTATTCAAAATGGATTTACTATGGTTTTATCATTTTTTCTAGCTAGAACATGTTAATACAAACTCAACAAAATTGGAATCATATTTTTATCACTTCCCTAGCTCAAGATATGCATTTTACAAGATTTAAACTAAGTGAAAAACACTTTATTTGCCCAATTTAATTTCCCCAAGAAACATGCTAGAAACTATGTATTTTATATTTTTAATAAATACTACACTTCCTAAGGAAGCTAACAAAATTTGAATCACTCAAATTGGATAACCCTATCTCTAGATATGAATTTCTAAAACATGTATTCAAATCTGTGAAATAAATAAGAAAAATCAAAGAACACACAAACTGACAGATGGGGTCCCACGGTCAACGGGGCCCGCTCGTCAGTGAGACCAGCGCAGGGCACTACATTTGATCGGCGAGAACTCACCGACGGCGAGGTCTCTAGCGAAACCCCTAGGCACCATCGTGTTCCTCTCGTCAACCCGCACCTAGGGGTACCCCAGGTTGGGTCGGCAGCTCACCGGAGCAGGCTCATTGGTGAGCATGGTGGACAGTGGTGGTCACGCAGTGGCGCGCCGGTCGTCTCCGGCCACGACAGGCTACGGCGAGGATGGCCCTACCTCTATGGTGACCTAGCGCAGTTCTAGAGCAAGATATGGCCACGGTGGAGCAGTGGGGGAGCCTGACCGCGTGCATGGCGGAACGGTGGCGCCCAGCGCACACGGCGGGGCTCTCCGTTCTGGCTAACCGGCGATGAGAGGTGGGTCTCCATCTTCACGATAGGAGCTAGGGTTCGTGGCCATGCACAAACATCTTCGAGCGGGGGATGGCGAGACCTAGGGGTGCTGGCCATGGTGAGCTCGAGCTCACGGCCATGGCGGGCACGGGGGGAGCGACGGTGCGTTCCCGCGTGATGGTACAGTAGCATCTACCCTAGCTCCGGCCTTAGCAGCAGTGACCTAAGGCAACTACGGACCGGAAGATAGGAAGGCGGGAGATGCACTAGAGCGGGTTGGCCACGGTGAGCCGAGAGCACGGTGCTCGGTGGCAATGGCGGTGGCAACGAAGCGGAAAGTCGCTTTACCTCGGTTCAAGGTGGCGCTGGTTTGAGGAGGTGGGGGTGATGGTGGACCAACTGTGGTCGAGAGGAATCGACCGATGGAGCCGCAACGGCAAGTGAGCTGAGCTTGGCTCTGCTCTAGCTGGGCGCGGCGAGAAAGAGAGAGCAAGTGAGAGCGGGTGGGAGGGAGCAGTAGGGGCGCGGCCCTCTTGTCCATGAGCTGGCCCGATCAGCTCGGCCATCGCCGGCGTACGGCCACCACATGGCGGCGGCAGCTTGGCGCGGTCGACCACTGACGCCGCGCGTGTTCGCGGTCATCAGAGCCCGGCATGCACATCTGACAGAGCAAGTTTGTGACCATGTAACTCCTAATCCGTGGTGAGTCAGTGCAAGGTGTGTGAACAAATCTTGTAGAACTATGTAAGGGCTACAAGATTGCTTTAGAAATCATCTTCTAATTAGCAATGGTTTGGATGTTACATCACCTCAAAGTCAGGTACGTTGAAACTGTAATCATCTCCAACACTTAGAATTTTTTTTCAAACTCCAAAACAGTATTTTCTTGCTACTTGTGAGCTATTTTTGAGCATGCTATGCACTGAATTAGGTCTTGGCCCAAAAATGAAAGTTGTTACTCTAGTTAAGTACTACAACTTTGCTTAAGGGTGCACTACCATACAAGCACTCTAAGACATAGTTCAACTTTGGTCAAACTAGTAACTTGAAAATTAGAGTTTCTAGAATAACTGACTTGGGGGTTGTTTTGGTCCATGTCATGAATACCAAACTTGTTCCATGTACTATCCTAAACATGTTAAGGTGTTTCTATGGCCCTACAAGCATTTCATGCATTGGTCACACACAATGGCAAGCATATACATGCATATAGCTATCATCACATGTAACAAAAGTAAGGTGATTGAGATAACACTTCATATGCTTATGCTCATGGATGCTCAATGATGCTCATGCTCATGAATGCAAGTGCCCAATGCATGCTTAACACTATGGTGTTACAACCCTCACCTACAGGTGGCGGACGACTCTCCCTCTCTACGCTGCACGGGTCTGTTTCATCTCCCTTTCTCCGAGTACGCTGAGCTGCTGGCTTTTTTCGGAGAGAGAACTTTTTTATTCCTTACCGTGTGACCTTAAGCTTATGGTGCATTTCTTACAGGCTATTACTACAGTGCACTCGCATAATGCTTAAGGTGCAAGCATTAAATGCTTAAGGCCTTGTTTGGATGCATGTGTATTTACTCCAATCCATATGTGTTGGAGTGGAATGGAATGAAATTTAGTTTAATTCCACTCCAATTCACTTCAACACATGTGGATTGAGATAAATATATACGCATCAAATAAAGACCTAAAGCAACTTTTTTTCTCACATTGTGGATGCCCTAGAAGTGTAGAAGTGTAGAATGGAGGGAGCATCATCAATCGTATCATGGAGCTGATGATTTGCTTTGCCAACCTATATTACTACTACTAGTAGTAGATCACTATTCATAATTCTTGACGAAAACAAACATCATACTTTATGATGGGCCTGGCTTCCTCGGCAACAATTTAGAACTTGTTTAACTCAATTAGGGTTAGAAATTAACTAATTATTTTTTTAGCTCTATACAACCACAGTCCACACATTTTTTTAAGGGGAACCACAGTTCACTCGTGCCCTATAATTTGACGTACACGTAGGAAACGGACGTCCCATCGCGGGGTCGCTTTCCACCTGGGCAGGGCCGCAGCGTGCCGATCCCACCAACCAAAGCCGCGAGTTGCCGACTCACCTCGCAAGTCGCAATCTCGCAGAGACGCGTCTCCACTCTCCAGAGTCCAGAGTCCAGAGTCCAGTTCCAGTCCTCACCGATGGCCTCGCCAGCGATGGTCCCGCTGCGGCAGCTCTTCGTCGACGGCGAGTGGCGCCCGCCCGCGCAGGGCCGCCGCCTCCCCGTCGTCAACCCCCACCACCGAGGCCCACATCGGTGAGTGACCGCGCCACCCCCCCCCGATCGCACCCCTCTCTGTTTTCTTCTACTGTACTCCGTAGTAGTACTAGTTTGTTGCTTGGCGTGGCGCTGATTCTGGGTTTCGCGCGCGCCGCAGGCGAGATCCCAGCGGGCACGGCGGAGGACGTGGATGCCGCGGTGGCGGCGGCGCTCAAGAGGAACCGCGGCCGCGACTGGGCGCGCGCGCCGGGGGCCGTCCGGGCCAAGTACCTCCGCGCCATCGCCGCCAAGGTACGCTAGTCCTCTTTGCTCTACGCTAATTTAATTGGGCCAAAAATCACTCCAGTGCTGTGTCCCTGCTTCCAAGCATTGGTACCTACTAGCTAAGTTATTTGTGTGCTTTGATTGAGTGTGTGACAACTCACTTGCTTTGATGGGGTATGGTACAGTGACTGGATCTGTACACTAATGGTATGCGTGAACTTCTCAGTACTTGTGCTATATATGTTGGTTTCTATACACTCGATCACTGTTCCTGAGTTACATGAACATAGGCAGATAAAGTACAAATTAAACTCCTCCAATTCTAAACCAATCTATTCAGGGGAAATCCTTATGTTCTGCTGTTGGTGTGAACAAACTATTGCGCTTTCCATCAATACAGGGTGTGTTAGCTTTAGTATCAACTCCAGTTCCAAAGCATCTCAAAAGATCGTTGTGAAATCCTTGTAAAATTTGGTTGGGTCATCAAAGTTTCGTCGAAATATATTCACATATATCACATTTTGCATGTAAAATGTCTTTTTATTCAGGTAATTGAGAGGAAACCTGAGCTAGCTAAGCTAGAGACACTTGATTGTGGGAAGCCTTATGATGAAGCCGCATGGGACATGGTATGTGACACACCTTATGGAAGTGTGCAAATTTTTTGTCCTTAGTTTGCAATGACAATATGTGCGGTATACCATTTATCAGGATGATGTTGCTGGGTGCTTTGAGTACTTTGCGGATCAGGCAGAAGCCTTGGACAAAAGGCAAAATTCCCCAGTTTCTCTTCCAATGGAAACTTTTAAATGCCATCTCCGAAGAGAGCCTATTGGGGTAGTTGGGCTGATAACTCCTTGGTATTTTCATTTCTCACTCACCTCTCTGTTATTCGCATTTATGATCAAAACACACAGGCGAGTGGCCTGTATTCAGTAATACTTCATTTCCCATAAGATCTCGGAGTTATATAGCAAAAAAACTGCATATTCTCTAACCAGTCTTTTAAACCTAATTTTAGATAACTTTCCTCATCATCGTTCTGAAATATTTCCAGTGTTCATATTTGTAATTCCTATCCAGTGTTGAACAACCTCACCTATATATCCAAGTTAATGTCTAATTTATTGTTTGCTTGTGTCAATGTTTGGCCAATGTCAATAAGTACTGTTGCTATGTTGATAAAACTGTGGGCTTTGTCCTACTACAAGTGTTGCTTCTGCTCCATAGCCCATTATTCAGCTACTATCCCTGTTCATGTATTTGTTGGGTGGGCCATTTCAGTTTATTGTGTCTAACTGTCTATGTATAAGATGTTGTTGACTAAGTAACTGATTTACTTATATTTATGTTTCTTCATATGTTCTTGCTTTACTTATTCTGATTCTGACTCTAAAGCATTATTCTTTGTACTTGCATTTGTGTTGCAGGAACTATCCTCTCCTGATGGCTACATGGAAGGTAGCTCCTGCTCTGGCTGCTGGTTGTACAGCTGTGCTAAAGCCATCTGAATTGGCTTCTGTGTAAGTATTAGCATGTTATGATGAGTTCATGCTTTAAGCAACGGCATTTGAAATGCCTACCTTTTGAATTACCAGGACTTGCTTAGAGCTTGCTGATATCTGTAAAGAAGTCGGTCTTCCTTCCGGTGTCTTGAACATTGTGACAGGATTAGGTCCTGATGCTGGTGCTCCTTTGTCAGCGCACCCAGATGTTGACAAGGTAAACTGTTCTGCATATAATGACACAATCATGCATGAGCATGACACATAAATGAAAACGTTATTCCTCATAGCATCGGTTTTCTGTGTATTTAGGTCGCTTTTACTGGGAGTTTTGAAACTGGTAAGAAGATTATGGCGGCTGCTGCTCCTATGGTCAAGGTTCGTCTGTGAATTTATGTTTTATTTCTAGTAATAATGCGCTGTGCCGTGTTGTTTTTGCTCTCTTTTATAAATTATCAGAAGTATGATTTGAATACCCTATTTTTAAGAGGAAATTCTATTGCATTCCTTAACATTGCATTTTCTTGACAGCCTGTTACACTGGAACTTGGTGGAAAAAGTCCTATAGTAGTATTTGATGATGTTGACATCGACAAAGGTACGTGTATATTCTAAGCCTTACTAAATTCCTAAATTTCATTTGTATTTGTGGATTGTTGCAGTTTGCAAAGAATTTAACTTATCAGAATGCTAAACACCTAAACCCCTTAAAGCGCTTCATTGGTATCTGGGATTTTGATAGAAATACTCAGCTGAGCAGGCTACTACAACAAGAGTTACTTTGGTACTGAAAATTGGTGCTTAGGATTTGTAAAATACAGTCCATAAAGTTGTGGGGAAAAAAAACCCACATGCTTGCTATTGTTTTGACCAGAGTACCAGACTTTGCATTGGTTGTGTATCTGGCACAAAATTTAGAGATGTGGCATGCCAGTTGAATAAAAAGATGAAATGAAAAGTATTTGACGCACTATGTATATGATACATGATTTCATATTTCATCATTGATCTTGAGAAATATAGGGCTGAATTTCTGTGGAGAACGTAAGCTTTAGTTTCAAGAAAGGGAACTTCTATAGATTCGCTGACTCTGACTGACTTAGTTATGCTGATACTTTGCTCAATGTGGAATCATGGATTCTGTTATACTTCCATCATTGATCCTTCCTTTTAAATATAAACAGCTGTTGAGTGGACTCTGTTTGGGTGCTTTTGGACCAATGGTCAGATTTGCAGTGCAACATCTCGTCTTCTTATCCATGTAAGTGTCACATGTTGTTGCTGGTACTCTGACTTGGAATACTTTTTACACTTAATAGCTGTCAACCATAATATATTTCCTTGAGTGGTGTTGCTAACTTTTCCTCGCCCTGCCGTTAACTTCTGATTCGAGAAAATTGTACAATTTCAAAAACGCTCCACTGAATAAATAACAGTATAGTATGTGTTTTACACCTGTTTTGAACAATATATGTGTCCTATTGCTTAAGGTCTAGGTTTGAACTCTTCAATTCTCTGTGGACTGTGTGCTTTGATCTGGTACCAAATGTATATTCTCAATGACTTGATTGTTTTTTACTCCCTCTGATACCAAATGTAAGTTGTTTAGGACATTGTCACAGTCTCCAATTCTCTGTGGACTTGATTGTTTTTTACTCCCTCTAATACCAAATGTAAGTTGTTTTTGACACTTTGACTTTAGTTTTTTTTTTTGAAAAAGTATATACTATTTAAATTGGACAAAACTATATATCATGAAAGATTTTGTCATGATGAACTAGTAACATCAACCATGTCTTGCTAATCTATGTAACTTGACATATATCGATGAGTCAAGAAAGAAGTTTGACCAACTTGAATGAATCCAAAAACGACCTACAATTGGGATCAGAAGGAGTAGGTTAACAATGGCTATTTACCACTCTATATTACTTTTCAAATCACACCTTTTTTTTTAACGAACCAGCACCGATAGTGCCTCTTTCAAATCACATCTCAGTTATGTACTTCTGGTATTGTTGTCAGTAACATACTAATCAAGTTCTGCCTCCAATGAAACTGTTGCAGACAAAAATTGCTAAAGAATTTAATGAGAGGATGGTTGCATGGGCCAAAAATATTAAGGTTTCGGATCCACTTGAAGAGGGTTGCAGGCTTGGGCCAGTTCTTAGTGAAGGACAGGTACTACATGTTAACTTCGTCTAAATTTAACAAATCACCATTGACAATGCTATGATTTGTGGCTTCTTTTTGATTTGACAGTTTGGTACTTCCGACTTAGTTGCTGTACACTCTTGTTCTTGCTAGTTTCTACAGGATGTAGCTTCCTCCGATTTTGAGAGGATCTGTGTTCAGATGTACTGATTGGCACCACCTTTTTTAGTTTTACTTTGTTACAGCAAGAGCCATTGATTAATGTTTATGGTCACATATATGACACTGGACTATGAGAAAATGATACCCTAAATCACCACCATCTTGGCAACCATATACATAGTTTCAGATTAACTTGTTGCTGTATAGTTGTTCATAGGAGTCGTATTCATGTTTTTGCATTCTCAGTATGAGAAGATTAAGAAGTTCATATCGAATGCCAAAAGCGAAGGTGCTACTATTCTGACTGGAGGTGTTAGACCGGCGGTAAGGCTTGCATTTGGATTTACAAGGATCCACATGATATAGTGAGATAGAACTAATGTTTTATGTTTTACAGCATCTTGAGAAGGGGTTCTTTATTGAACCAACAATTATTACTGATATCACCACATCAATGGAAATTTGGAGGGAGGAAGTCTTTGGTCCAGTCCTGTGTGTTAAAGAATTTAGCACTGAAGATGAAGCCATTGAACTGGCCAACGATACACAGTGAGCTACTTCTTTTTAGCACAGTTTCAAGTTTCAACATCCTTTTGCAGGCTTTGCAGCTCATGCGTAGTCTATAGCTTATGAATTAACGCCACTATCCTTTTTTTTATAGGTATGGTTTGGCTGGTGCTGTAATTTCTGGTGATCGTGAGCGCTGCCAGAGATTATCTGAGGTATGTATAAGTGAAGAGGTTCACAGTATTTGGCTGGCAACTTTGATGATTGCATCAGACTGATACGCAGAGTTTTTTTTTTGGCTTATCATATACCTCTTTCCATGTTATCACTCATTCAGTCATTTGAAGAGTTGAAGTTGATATTCTTGATACCATGGCCCTGAATTCGATTTCCACTTGTGCAACGTGCAATTCGTGCAATTGCTCTCAGAACTGTTTTTGGGTATTTCTACTGCACATCTCTAATGAAAACTTGCGCAACAGGAGATCAACGCTGGATTAATCTGGGTAAACTGCTCACAACCCTGCTTCTGCCAAGCACCCTGGGGCGGGAACAAGCGCAGTGGATTTGGACGTGAGCTTGGAGAAGGGTGGGTAACATGGAACGGCAACATTTCTAAGACGTCTAACAGATATTGTTATGGGATCTGACTGACACTGTCTGTTTAACTGTAGGGGCATTGATAACTACCTGAGCGTCAAGCAAGTCACGGAATACATCTCTGATGAGCCGTGGGGATGGTACCAATCCCCCTCCAAGCTGTAAACTGGCACGAAAACTTGTCTTTTCTCATTAGAATAAATATATCTTGGTGCCATACAGAATGGATCCGTGTATCAAACTGAATATGACATTGTGAAAAAGGCACATCTGCGGAATAAAGGTCAGAGTTGAGTTTTGAGAGAATTCCTTGTATGTCATCGAAAATTATACCAATCCTTGTATTCCATCAAGAATTTAGAGTTTCCTCTAATGCCAATGCCACTAGTTAAGTTTAGCTCACCATTGAGTGCCACTCCCATCAGATAGATGTTAGCTTAGTGGAGAAAAGATTGATCTACCTGTCTTCTTTCTTGCTGCTCTTTTCGCTCTCGAATCAATTGACATCTATAAAAATCAAGAGCTTCACTGAATTCCCAGGGTAGAGTAGTGGCTATCATGTATTCTCGGTCGAATCAAATCACTCAGTCCAGCTTATAATTGGTAATTTATGGTCATCGTTTTCGCAGTACAGTGTCTGAAAGCATGCTACAAATAGCATCGAAAGATGTGGTAATGTTTCTTTGTACAGAATTCTAAAACTGGGCACAAGGAACAAAAAACCTGATCTCATGCAAAAACCTTGAAGCGACCTGTGCCATCAACTATGCCCGAGCTCTTTGCATCTCTTCAAAAGATCCCTGTAGTTGTCCAGAAACGATGTAAAAATCCTGTAATCAAAATGGCATAATTTAGAAGAAATTAGAACAAAGTGAGGTGGGCTACATCCTACACGGACTTCTGAGTTCTCAGACCGCAACGTAAAACAGGTTAGTTTTGCAGGTACGGGTACTACATACATGGAGTGTCAATCTTCTTGCTAGCTTGAAAGCACGCAGAATATACCTGCCGTATGATCCACAGAGCTCCACACCCTGACGAGAGAGCAGGGTGCAAAGCAAGTGACAAATGATTCTGGTGGGAATTGAGGGGTTGTTTGGCAGCACTTCTTAGAGCAGATATATGAGTAGCAGGTATTCAATTATGCAAGTGCAAAAAAGGAGAGAATGGTTAGGGGCCACAACACACAATTTATTTAATCTAAACCTTAACTATTATGACTAGACTTATTCGCAAAAAAAAAAAACTATTATGACTAGACTGGATGACAAAGTGTCCTAGCTCCTCCTCACGGCCAATGAGACCGTCATATGGGAAGGAGGGGGACTATGGAGGTGGTGTTGGAGTCTTGGTCTCTTGGAGAAGCCCTAGGGTGATGTATACGGGAGGAGGCCATGACAAAAGAAAAAAAAACTTGGGTGTTTGTAGACCAAATAGTTTCCTGTATTTGCACTAGTGCTGTCATGCATATTTTTCTACTTATCTTTTTATTTCTACTTTCTGTGCAATCGGTCTCGATATAATTTGGGGAGTAAATTTTATCGACGGTCCTTATTAAACTTGTCTCGCATTTATCATCCAGATCTTGGTGCTCTAAAAATGCATTTTTGGTGCTCTAAATTTTTTCAACATTTGTGCTAAACCACCCATGTGGAACGCTGAGCGTGCAATGATGTCGGCCTGACATGTGGGGAAAACGAGTACATTAGCGGTCATTGAACATCTCGTGTGTTGAATATATTATGAGCTTGTCCCATATAATATTTAATAAATCAAATAAACTCTATGGCCCGTATTAATACGCGATATATGGTTTAATATCATACGAGATTTTAAGTAAATGTTGACTCAATTTATATGGTTGACAAGCTAAGAAAAGGACGTTGGTATGCCACACGTGCGCGCGCTGCCGCCGGCGGCGGCCGGGCCGAGGCCGTGGCAGGCAGGCGGATGGACGGGGCCAAGTTTTGCCAATCAAGTCACATAATTACGGAATTTCCATTTTTAATTAGTGGCAATTTGATGATGGGAGTTTCCTCTATTACTGCCGCTGAACCTTCATGACGAGACCTCTCTCGTCTCTGTCTCTGTCTCCTGTCTCGAGCCTCTTTGGTTTCCAGCCACGAGCATATAATCCCATCTCCTCCGTCAGTCATTCTTTTTCCCTTCGTGAGACAACCACATATTCAGCCTCTCTGGTTCTCCCCTGTCTCGGTACTTGCGCGCACGAGTTCTAGGAGAGAGTAGGCCTCAAAACGCCTGCCGTCTACGAATTCGCCTGCTCGGATGGAAGACGGCAATCATGTTTTTAGAGAGTGTCGCTGACGGCACGACTACTCGCTACGTCTTCTTCTTCCTGGGTGTCTTGTTGGTCTTCTTCCCGACGCATGGCGAAGGCTCTCTGGTGATCGGCACTGCTTCTCTCTCGACTACACCGATAGGCACTATGTCGACTAGTGCATCCGGCTCTACCGTTGGGTATATTTCCGTTGTTCGCTATCCAGTAAAGTTTTGGATCAATATCTTGCTGGTTAGTATCATCTACATGCTATTCATTCTTAGATCACACAAGCACATACATGATGTCACAAACCTTTTGATTATTGTTATTTTCTGGATTAAATTATTACTGAAATTGTCTAAAATTCTAACAATCCAAAAATGTGATAGACAATTCTTGGTAGTCGGCTTTGCGGGTATGCTAAAACCAAATGTTTTTAGGGCACTCATTACAAGAGGTGGCGGTAGAGGTGCATTGTATGGTTGACTGCTATGCACTGCTATTTTGTCGCTAAACCTAGGGCTGTTGGACCGCATACTCCTGATGAGGAGCGTGCGTTCAAACATGTTGATACTACGTTCAATGCTGCAATTCTGAGCATGCTAGGAGACACCATAGTGGATGCATATGTGCCGCTACAAACTGGTAAAGAGATGTGGGATGCACTTAAGGTCAAATATGGGGTTTCTGATGCTAGTAGTGAGTTGTATGTCATGGAGCAGCTTCATGACTACAGGATGGTTGATGACCGTTTTATTGTAGAACAAGCTCATAAGATATAAACACTGGCAAAAGAGCTCAAAATTTTTTGTTGTGTATTGCCAGATAAGTTTGTGGCAGGCTGTATTATTGTAAAGCTGCCACAGGCTTGGATAAATTTTGCTACTTCTCTGAAACATAAGAGACATATGAGTTTGGCATTGTCGATCTCATTGGCTCTTTGGATGTTGAAGAGAAGGCGAGAGAAAAGGACGTCCATGGCAAGAAAACCGTTGAGGGAGGTTCTAGTGCCCATGTGGTGCAAAAAAATCCTCAACACTCCCATAAGAAGAAATTTCAACAAGAACTCAAATAAAAGAACACTACACCTTTTAAGAAGAAGAAGAAGAAGAAGGAAAAGGAGAATTGTTTCACTTGTGGCAAGCCTGGGCACTATGCTAAGGATTGCCCAGATGGCAAGTGAAAGCCCAAAAGAAATCTGCTAACATGATTAAGGCTGATGGAGGAACATTGGGGTATGATAATTTATTACATACAGTTCTTTCAATTTTTTATTCACCTGATTGGTGGGTGGATACATGGGCTAATATTCATATATGTGCTGATATTTTTTTGTTTTCTTCTTATCAGGTCGGGCGGACTTCCTCCTTGTTGATGGGGAACGGGGTGCGTGTTGTTGTACGTGGTGTTGGTATGGTCGATCTGAAGCTTACTTGAAAAAGACCGTGCAACTGAAGAACGTGCAGCATGTCCCCTCAATAAGAAACAATTTGATTAGTGGTTCTCTATTATGTCGTGATGGTTATAAACTTGTGCTTGAGTCGAATAAGTGTGTACTTTCTAAGTATGGAACTTTTGTTGGCAAAGGCTATGAGAGCGGAGGCTTGTTCCGCTTGTTTTTAACTGATGCATGTGTTAATTCTGTGAACCATGTGAGCCAGGATAATGAGATAAATGTTTGGCATTTGTGTTTATGTCATATTAATTTTGGTTGTATGACTCGCTTAGCTGGTTTAAATTTAATCCCGAAATTTGATTTGGTCAAAGGTTCTAAATGCCATGTATAACAACCTCGCAAGCCTCACAAGGCTGTTGCGGTAAGAGACTTGGCTCCATTAGAACTAATTTATTTCGATCTATGCGAAATGAATGACGAGTTGACCAAAGGTGGCAAAAGGTATTTTATAACGTTTATAGACGATTGCACTAGATTTTGTCATGTGTATTTACTAAAATCAAAAGATGAAGTGTTGCATTATTTTAAGATCTATAAAGCTGAAGTAGAAAACCAACTTGAGAAGAACATCAAACGGTTGCGAACTGATCGTGGGGAGAATATTTCTCAAATGATTTTTTTGAGTTTTGTGTAGAGCATGGGATTATTCATGAGAGGACACTGCCTTACTCACCACAATCCAATGGGATTGTAGAGAGAAAGAACCGCACTCTAACTGAGTTGGTTAACGCCATGTTAGAGACAGCGGGACTATCTAAGGAATGGTGGGGTGAAACGATATTAACAGCTTGTCATGTCCTGAATAGATTGCCCACTAAAACAAATAAATTACACCATTTGAGGAATGGGAGAAGAAGAGATTAAATCTCTCTTACCTGTGAAAATAGGGGTTGTTTGGCAAAGGTAAATGTGTCAATTAACAAGAAGCGAAAGCTTGACCAAAAACCATTGATTGTGTCATTCTTAGTTATGCCATTCATAACGCGTGGGTTATAGATTTTTAATAATAAATTCTAGGGTGCCTGATGTGAATGTTGGTACTATCATGGAATCTAGAGATGCTATATTTTTTGAGAATGAGTTTTCTATGAAGAATACACCTAGCACTTTTAATCATAAATCTATTTTATTACCTAAGACACATGAACCGGTAATACATACTGATGTTGAAACCCATGAAGAAAATCTAGAGGAGGATAATAATATAGTCACTCAAAAGAGTAAGAGAAGGAGGACTACAAAGTCCTTTGGTGAAGACTATATTATATACCTCGTGGATAATACTCTTAAGACCATAGAAGAGGCATATTCATCTCTTGATGCTGACTTATGGAAGGAAGCTATTTAGAGTGAGATAGACTCTATTATGTCTAATAGAACTTAGGAGGTGGTTGATCGTCCTTACGGATGCAAACCTGTGGGATGTAA